CGACGGCAATGTTTCTGCGAAACCGATGCCCAACAAGAGCCATAAGTGAAGACACCTTATGAGGTCTGGACGAAAAAAAATCCTGTACTGACAAATGTCAAGGTATTTGGATGTCATGCGTACGTCCATATTCCGCACGAGAAACGCTCGAAATTGGATGCCAAGGCTTCACTATGCCGTTTTTTGGGCTACGCGGAGCATCTCAAGTCCTACCGCTTTGAGGACATATCAAGTGGGCGCGTCACCGTAAGTCGTGATGCGCAGTTTATGGAAGACGTCTTCGACGGTGGTAGATCTGTCCAAGAACAAGAGGTCACTGATCTCAACGAGGAAGTGAGTACGGACCATGAAGATACGAATGACGCTATGAATGAAGATGAAGACGTTGAGGACGTCCAAACGGTAGACTTCGCGCCTGGCGACAAAAGACATCCAAGAACACAATCTCTTGATCAAGCAACGGAAATTCCGAGTTCGAAGCGACAAAACCGTAGTCTCAAGCACATGTCGGCCATTGCTGAAGGAGATTTTGAGGCGGCATTCGTTGTGGATTCAGTAAGAGAAATGCGACCACGCACAGGTCGGCGATGGAATCCATCAACTCTGCGAAATGGGAAGAAGCGTGCGACTCCGAAACCAACTCGCTTCTCAAGAACAAGACATGGGATCTTGTCCATGTCCAGCTTCCCAAAGGTCACAAAGCAATCGGCTGCAGATGGGTGTTTCGTGTCAAAGAAAACAATATGGAGAAATTGAGCGGTTCAAGGCACGCCTGGTTGCAAAAGGATTCTCGCAAAAGTTCGGTATTGGCTATGAAGAAACATTCGCGCCTGTGGCAAAGTTCACGGTAATTCGATGCGTGCTAAGTCTTGCGGCGAAGTACGATCTTACCGTGCACCAGATGGACGTCAAGACTCCTTTTTCAATGGTGAGCTGGACGAAGAAATCTACATGATTCAGCCTGAAGGTTACGTCGAAGACAGCAATCCCATTCTCGTGTGCAAGCTCAATCGATCGCTGTACGGACTGAAGCAATCGCCGCGCATGTGGAAGAAGATCATTGACGAGTTTATGCTGAAGCTTGGTTTGAAAAAATGTGAATCGGACCACTGCATCTACACGAAACGCGACGGTGAAGCCATAATCTTCGTTGCACTCTATGTGGACGACTTGGTACTTGCAAGCAGCAGTGACAAGATGCTCAATACAGTAAAATACGCCTTGAGTGATCGATTTGAGATGACCAACTTGGGTAAGCTCAACTTCTTTCTTGGCATGGAAATCGATCAAGAACGTGGAAAGGTATCGATGCGTCAGACCAAGTTCGCCAAGGACGTTTTGACCAAGTTTGGCATGGACAACAGCAATCCAGACAAGACACCACAAGATCCATGGCGAAGTCCATGTGCGAGGATGGGTGCTATCACAGCGACACAATGGCAAACGTGCCCTACCGAAGTGCTGTTGCTTGCCTCATGTAACTTTTGGTTGGCACGCGTCCCGACCTTGCCGCTGCAGTGGGAGTCCTCAGCCAATTTGCAGCAGATCCATGTCCTACACATTGGCAAGCGCTAAAGCGGGTATTTCGGTACATTCAAGGCACGAAGACCTACGGCATCGAGTTCACGGCGGATGGCGATGCTCTTACAGGCTATTCGGATGCAGACTGGGCAGGCGACACTGAGTCGCGCCGAAGTACAAGTGGCTACGCGTTCATGATGAACGGCGGGTGTATCAGTTGGAGAAGCAAGAAACAAAGAACGGTGGCGCTTTCTTCAACAAAAGCCGAGTAAATGGCACTATCGGAAGCTACTCAAGAGGCAGTTTGGTTAAAGGTCTTTCTATGCGAGCTTGGAGAAATGGCAAAGGACGAAGCGATCAAGATCTACGAGAACAATCAAGGTTCGATTGCGTTGGCCAAGAATCCCGAGTTTCACAAGCGCACCCAGCACATCGACATACGATACCACTTCGTACGCGAGAAGGCGGAAGATGGCCAAGTTGTGCTACAGTATGTGTCAGCACTTGACAAGCTGGCCGACCTCATGACGAAGCCAATCCCCGGCCCACAGTTCAGTACGCTCCGAAGCAAACTTGGCATTATGGCATCATCGGCTGTCGAGTCGAGTGGGAGTGTTGTCAATATGACTCCTCGACCAGCTGCGATATACCGATAAGATACTCGTATGATCATGTCGCTATACTACCGTCATTCCTGTGATTGGATGCAGTTGAAGTTTGGTGATTGGACGCAGTTGAAGTTTGGATCAAGTAGAGTGTATCCAGAGGGTAAACATTAGGCTTAGAGTAGTGTAAGCGAACTAAGGACCAAATGAATCACTTTGCATTTTGCATTAAACCACTCAAGCACTTCCAAACTCTTCAATAACCTTTAAATGCAACTGTATTTCTTTGCCCTGCATGCCTGTTTTGATCGTACTCATCGGCTGCGTGATCAGAACAACCACGAGCAGCAGCCAGACGCCCTGCAACGAAAGCCAAAGATAAGGGTGCCGCTGTATCATCATTATTGTGAACGAACAGGAGGTCTTAACCGATGCGCTTTATGCCTAGTAAGCTTGTTTTCCAACCTGGACCAGGTAGCGTCACGGGAGCGAGTTGTGCTCTCGCTTGGTCTCCTCTACAGCTGACACCACAATCTAAAGCCCGCCGATGCAGTGACATGACAAGCTCTGCAATCGCTAGTGATATTATACCGGAGAATGATCTACTCCGCACCTTGGCTTGGTCTGACAGTGCCGTCTCATGTAGGAAGTTGTGCAACGGCGAAGCGGTGGCACCCTACTTGTCGAAAGCACCCCAGACCCGATACAGCGCTGAGATCGACCTTGTTGTACGGAATTCTTGACAGTCACACAAGGCTACTTGGTGCTGCCAAACACTAACGCGCAAGATGCACAATTCGTTCCCGTCGACTTTGGACATGTACAGCAATTATCTGGCAGCCTACACCATGATAGCGGAACGTCATTTATGTATCATTGCGAAGCGCGCACAATGCTCGACCACGCTGCAGAACATAAAGTTTTGGCCCACCGCCGAGATGATTGAGATGACTCTCCAGTACCTAGTCCACCACACATCGTCTCGCACAGCCGCCGCTATGCAGTCGCACCACGCCCTGAGCTGAAGTCATGTCTATGATGGAAGTATAAAAATGTTGTGTCATTGTTCTGCTACAGTGCCATATCTTCCTCCGCGGTGGTATAATCGTCGCCGATGAAATGCCCGACAAGATGTCACACAGCAATTTAGTTGGTTTATGGCGCTGCTCCTGATGCCGTCAATACATGCAGCAATCTGCCGATACTTCGAGCTTGTGTGCTTTCAATGTAGCGATGAAAATTAGTGAGACGCACACGCGCGGCGCGGACCATTAGCCCTGCTGCATCATAGCCACAATTAGATGATACTTAAAAAATGTAAGCGCAAGAGTATGAAGAAATGTGAATGCCCAATGGATGTGTCTACAAAAATTACAAAACAACACACAGAAAGCGCTCAAAATCGCAAATTGGCGCTATCTGTACGTATAGGGTTTAGGCACTGATAGGTATAAACGCAATTTTCAATGATACATTATACCTTCTCGGCCTAATAGCTAAGATCAAGTGTAGTATCTGTTCTAATCAGTGTGAAAACTGGTTGCCGACTGTAAAGTCGGGAACTTTCACATTAATTTCTGCATCTATTTCTATAACTTTCTAGCTTGCTAGTTACGCATAGATAGGTCTCCGAGAGGTTACACCCTTTCTCTCGTGAGACCGACTACTACACTTGCTTGTTGCCTATTTTCTTCGCCCTCCGACCCTTCACCAACGCATCTTGGGATGCGCTTCTGGTGGCCGGATTGGCAGCCTCGAGAGCGCTCGCTGTCTTCCGACAGCGAGTGCTCTACGGCCAGCCACTCTAGTCTCGCCAGCGATGCGTCTTTTTATAGCGCGGATGCTGACGCAGAGATTAGAGCGGCTGACGACTCTTTGGGGTGGGACGGTCCACTAGGGGTCGGGTTACCCATTGTGGATCCGCTTGCCCCCGTTTTGGACTCGGACGAGTCCCAAAATGAGTCTTTTGGCGCCTCTCGCGGGGCGCCATATCTCGGCGCCGACGGCGCCTCAGACGGTGCAACTTCGGGCACGGGTATATCACCTGCGGCGCCCATTGCACAGGCAACGACAACACGTGGCGACCCCTCGGGCGACCAGGCGCCAACCCGGTCTTCGAGCGCGACCTCGCGTCGTTTCGAAGATCGGGCAGCGGACGGACGTCCGCTCGGCCAGCCAATCAGCACGCCCGGTCCTCTTATACTCGGTTTGAGTATAGGAGGAGGGCCACGTGGCGAGAATTCTCTTCCCTTCGCCTCCACTGCCACACGGCCACGATGGCCTCGCGCCCCCTATACTTGGTCTAAGTATAGGGGAGCTGCAACCACCTTCGGCCGGCTCCCCAGTCGTCGGTTTGGACCCCTCGATCCTCCACGCGCGCCGTTCGGCTGGCCAAGACTCTTCTCTGGCCTCGCCCGGCCTTCAAGCGCGCCGTTTGGCTCTCGAAGACACCGCGATTGTTGAGTTGGCACCCGGCAGGGCGGCAGGCATGCTGCCCGACCCGGTCGTGCCCGGGGTAGCGCTGGCTAGCGCTCCCCAGCCCCCAACAAGCCACCAAGCGCGCCGTTTGGCTGTCCAAGACCCCACTTCGGCCTCACCCGGCCCTCAAGCGCGCCGTTTGGCTGCTGAAGACCCGGCGATTGTTGTTTCGGCACCCGGTAGGGCGGCAGGCATGCTGCCCGACCCGGTCGTGCCCGGGGAAGCGCTCGCAGCCGCCACGGCTCGCGCTCTGGGTGTTGCCCATGGCCCCAGCGACCTCGAGGGCGTCCTTAGCGACGACGAGGACGCCCCAACGCCTTGGAAGACCCCGTCGACGCTGCCAGCCCCTCGGAAGTCCTGGCGAGTGTGTTGCCTTCACCCGAAAGGGCAGGTGGCATGCTCGCCGACCAGGGAGCCTTGGCATGCCTCCTCGCAAGCAGTGAGGCCTGCATGCACGACGGCCCCGCCACTCCACCCAGCACAGCCGTTGCCATGGACGTGGATGAAGGGGCCCTATGGACGGCGCCGTCGCAGCACCCCCTGTCGCCGCCACGAGAGCTTCGTGTGGCAGGCAAGCGTCGGCGTCTCAACGACGTCGACGACGAAGACCAACGGGAGCTGGCCGAGCTCTCGCAGCTTGTCGACGAGGACGAGGCTGGGATTCCTACCCTTGCGCTCAGGCCATCCGCGGCCAGCACTATACCGGCCTCTGTCCTCTCCGTGTTCGTGCACAACGCGCAACACTTCCAGTGCACGTTGTGCACGTACACGGCTGCCAGCTTCGCGTCCCTGACACGTCATCGAGTCTCTAGGCACCGCCGCATCGCCTTCATGGACCGGTTCTCGGCAGGTTGTGCGTGTGGCACCCCCTTCACGTCGAGGCTGGCTGCAGCAACACACGCGCAAGCGTGCACCAGCCTCCAGACTACCTCTTTGGCTGCGACTGCGTCAGCAGCAGGGGAATTGAGCCCCACTGCTGGCGCAGTCAACGCCCCCGCTACGGTGGCGTCTGTTACGCCTCGACTGCCCCGTTCTGACTTCACGGTGCTCGCTGTGTCCCCCCCGCAGCTGAGCACCACCAGTGCTGACAGGTCCAGGTCTAGTGTACCCCGATGGGACCCACCGCTGCCCCGGGAGCTGATAGCGTCTCGCGTCGCCGCTCGCCTCGATGAGGTTCCAGCCCCTCGCTGGGGACCGCCACTACCGCGCAGTGTGGTGACGTCTCGAATCGCTGACCGCCTCCTTCCACCGGAGCTGGAGGATGAGGAGACCAAGGAAGAGACCACGGAAGAGGAAGACAGTCCGGCCGGTGGCAGGGCCGTTGACGATGAAGAAGAAGATGCAGATGAAGACGGTGGCGAGTGGCTTCTGCGCTTTGACGGTGCCTGCCGGGCTAACCCTGGACCAGGCGGTGCTGGAGCAGCACTCTTCAAGCCAAGTGGTCCTGTAGTGTGGACATGCTCTCACTACATGCCCAGCAGCAGCGAGACCAACAATACAGCTGAGTACACGGCGCTGCTGCTCGGTGCAAGGGCCGCCGCCGATCATGGCGCCACCCACCTGCGTGTGGAAGGTGACAGCACCCTCGTCATCCAGCAGGTGAGGGGAATCTATGCTACACGTAGCACGCGCCTTCGCAAGCTCAGGAATGGTGTCAAGGCCGAGCTAGCGAGGATGGTCCAGGTCACGCTGCACCACATTGACCGCCAATCGAACGGACACGCGGACCGCCTCGCGAATGCTGCGATGGATCGGCGTGCCTCCAAGATGGAGTGTGGGGTGCATCCTGCTGAACATGGCGGTTCATGCACCTCGCTGGAAGTCTCAGGCTCTACAGCAGTGAACCCGCCTGCTCGTCCTGCGCCTCCGCCAGCTGCGGTCGAGCCTCCTGCGGTTGTCGACGTGGCAGACGTCGACGACGACATGGCAGACGTCGACGACGACATGGGCGACATCGACGACGACATGGGCGACATCGACGATGGAGAAGTCTACGCTGCGATGCGTGTCGGCCCAGAGGCAGTTCCCCAGCGTCGGCCGCGTCTCCGTCTGCGCAACTTGGACGACGATGAACGCGAAGCGGTGGATACGTTGGTGGGGCGGCTGGCTGCTACGCTTGCTGCCAAGATTTCGGACGCTAGTGACTGGGAGGCAGCGGAGGGTTACATCACTGCCCTCCCGCATGCGCTTTACGATCGACTCCAGCCATACGCCCAGCCCCAGCGACGGCAGCATAGCCAACCGCTCCCTCCACAACCAGTCCAGGAGCGGCAAGCGACACGGCAGCAGAGACAGCGGGTCCCCGATCACCGTGACGAGAACGCAGCACCGACTCTAGAGACGCCAGGGAATCGACGAGGAGAACGTTGCTCACGCCGCCGCCGTGGACGAGCCGGTGGTGCGACAAAACGCCGACGGCGCCCACGACCGCCACGTGTGACACGACACCACCGGGAGCACCGGCTAGACGAAGCTCTCGATGAGTTGCATGCCGTAGGACGCAGCGACCCCAGCAACCGCAAGGCGGTGGCCAAGGCACGTCGTCGTGTGGGGAGGATTAATTCCTCCATCACGCAACAACGCCTACGGCACCAGTTCGACACCGCAGAGAAGGCCTGCGTTGACGGTATCCTTGCAGCTGCACGGACCAAGCGCGTGTCGGTGGAGAATGCATCCACGCTGTCGGATGCTCTCCCCACGGATGAGGTGGACACAGGTATCTGCCCCATCCCGGGCGACCAACTTCATGACTACTTTGCGACGGTGTCTACCCCGGGGCGCGCCTTCAACGCTATGGATCCAGTGGGTGCCCCCTTCCGCTCGGCCCTTGCCCGCCTGCCTGCAGCGACAAGTGCCATGGAGCTGCTCATGGAAGCGCCTTCCCCGGACGACATCGAGGACCAGCTTCAGCGTGCACGTGGCAGCTCCAGTCCGGGGCTCGACGGTGTCGGGTACGATATCTTCAAGATGTTCGCGGCGCAGCTCCTGCCTGCGCTGCATGCAGCATTCGCGTGCTGTTGGAGATACAAGAGGGTTCCACAGAGCTGGAAGGTCGGCGTGGTGCGCCTGCTGCACAAAAAGGGTGATCGACTCGCACCTACCAATTGGCGGCCGATTTGTCTGCAGCAGGCCATCTACAAGCTCTACGCTGGCGTCTTGGCACGGCGCTTCACTCGGTGGTTGGACGTCAACGGACGTCATGCAGACGCACAGAAAGGCTTCCGGGCGATGAATGGCTGTGGAGAGCATAATTTCCTCGCAGCCACGCTCATCGATCAAGCTCGCCGCAAGCATCGCGAGCTGCATGTCGTGTGGTACGACTTCGCCAACGCCTTCGGCAGCGTGCCACATGATTTGCTCTGGGAGGCGTTGCAGCGGCAGGGTGTACCGCCTGAGTTTATTGCTTGCTGCCGTGGTCTCTACGCTAATGCAGCGTTCACCATTGGCAACGCCAAGGACGGGACTACTGCGCCGATTGCGTTGCAGGTGGGGGTGTTCCAGGGATGCCCTCTCAGCCCTCACCTTTTTACCGCTGCTATCGCTCCGCTGCTTCATGCCCTCAAGAGTCTGCCAGAGACTGGTGTTCAACTCTCCAGTGTGGACCGTCCCGGTGCTGCCGCCTACGCTGATGACCTCAAGATTTTCAGCAGCACCGTGGATGGTATTAAGCGTCAGCATTCGGTTGTCCAAGACTTCCTGCGCTGGACTGGCATGGCGGCCAACCCCTCCAAGTGCAGCACTCTATCCGTTCAGCGGGACAGTCGTGGCCTCCATCAGCCTTGCGACCTTGGATTGAAGCTGGATGGCACCCCGATCCCTGCCCTCAGCGCGTCGGACTCGTACAAGTACTTGGGGATCGGGGATGGATTCGACCACGTGCGACGACGCGTGGAGCTCGCCCCAGCACTGACCGAGCTCAAGCACGACGCGACGGCGCTACTGCAGTCTGGGTTGGCGCCGTGGCAAGTGGTCAAGGCGATCAAGGTGTACTTGTACCCGCGCGTCGAATATGCCCTCCGGCACCTGCGACCGTTTGCTCAACAGCTGGAGGGCTTCGACAGACACTTGGTTCGTGGCCTTCGCCACCTGTTACGGCTGCCGGTCAACGCGACCTCTGCATTCTTCTACACACCGGTGTCGCGTGGCGGATTGGGGTTCCTGCCATTGACGGAGCTGCACGGTGCTCTTCAAGTGGCGCACGGATGGCAGATGCTGAACTCGCCTGATCCTGCCATCCGGCGTATTGCATGCCAGCAGCTTCGTCAGATTGCCGATGCGCGGTACCGACTGGACGTTCAGGTGTGGAAGGACCGTGACGAGGAGCTGGGCGAGCTCCTCCTCAACAGCAAGCTCGCGACGTCGGACCCAGCCCCGCCCAAGCGACGCAGTGCAGATATCGGTTCGCTGTGGTTCGACATTCGAGGGCACCTCCACCGTTTTGGTCTCCAGTTTGAGATGTCGCCAGCGGTGGAGGAGACTGGGACACCTTCCAAGCGGCTGCAGCTTCGCGTGCCCCACCATAGTGCATGGTTGGACCACCGTACAGTCCTCAGGCACGTGAAGCTGCACCTCAAGAACAAGTACTGGAAGCGATGGACCTCGATGAAGGATCAAGGGAAGGGTGCTCGCGTCTTTGGCGATGCTGGGAGCGCCTTCCTCACGCGGCCCCGTGGACTGTGGGAGACGGACTACCGCTTTGCAGTGGCTGGTCGTCTCAACCAGCTTGACACACACAGTGTCCTCAAGCGCCGGCGTCTCCGTGCGCATGACAAGTGCAGGTTTCCGGGTTGTTCTCGCTCTGAGACGCTGGCACATGTGCTCAACCACTGTGCCGGCACCATGGACGCGGTTCGCACCCGCCATGATGAAGTTTTGAAGACCATCGAGCGCAAGATTGCTTCCTCAACAAGCGCCGACGGCGATCGTGTCGAGCTTCGGGTCAACCAGACGGTGCCGTCGCTCCCTGGACCGGCGTTGCGACCCGACCTCCAGATCTACAACCACACTAAGCGAACGGTGTCGGTTGTAGATCTGGCAGTGGCGTTCGAAGAACAAGCTGCCGACGACCCAAGGACGTCTTCGCTCGCAAGGATCGCCGAGATCAAGCGCACCAAGTACGACTGCGTCAAGCGTCACCTCGAGCGTCAAGGATGGACCGTGCAGCTTTCGGCGCTGGTGTATGGGTCACTTGGAGCGGTCGCCGGTGGTAACCTCGCGGTTTACACCGAGCACCTCGGTCTGCTCAAGTGTGATGCAAGGCGGCTGGACCGACAATTATCTGTCGACTGTATCGCGTCCAGCCGCCGCATCTGGAATTTGCATTGTAGCATGCATCGCGCGCGTCAGCATCCAAGCGGCTCAAGAACAGCTTCTAGGGGCAGTCGAGTGACGGAGACCGGGGGGACTCCGTCACACAACGGCCACCGCTAGTCGGTTATCAGGCCCATTGCGGCCGACAGGGCCACACCCATGTAGGGAACCGCCCTCGCAAACCCCACCGGTAAGTTTTGGTCCGACGTCTATGCGGTGCCTATCTAACATCACTAACACACCACGTAGTATCACTTGGGTATTTTCTATACCAATTTGATTGTGGACTAATCGGTAGGTAATACATACTATTTCTCTGTTCTAATCAGTGTGAAAACTGGTTTCCTGACTTTCAGTTGGGGATTTTTCACATTCATTTTTGGAACTTCTATCGACACTAGCTTGCTAGTGTCGACGGAACGGTTTCCGGGGGCTTTCAAAACTTCCCCCGCGAGGCCAACAACTATACCTGGTCCTTCTTCTTCAAATTAATTATTCTTTATGTACCTTCTACTATAGACAACAACACATATACACAAAACATTAGCCTATTAATATTTTACTCTGTAAAAGTCCACTAAGTGTTGCACAATTGTCCCCAACTAGATGCTTTGGTAGAGCCAATTTCGCCACCCGTTGATTCTTACATGTCGCCCCAATTTTAAATCAAAATAGCACTAACGATTTAATGAATATGCTGTTAAAATTATTGTTATATTTTACTACCTTTCCACACATTTTGTATGCTACTGCCATATTGAAGAAAAACCCACAAATTCGCACTACTCCATTTCGAAGTACCTTCGCAGCGATACCTTCTCGGCCTAATAGCTAAGATCAAGTGTAGTATCTGTTCTAATCAGTGTGAAAACTGGTTGCCCCAACAACACTTCCTTGTTGCCTATTTTCTTCGCCCTCCGACCCTTCACCAACGCATCTTGGGATGCGCTTCTGGTGGCCGGATTGGCAGCCTCGAGAGCGCTCGCTGTCTTCCGACAGCGAGTGCTCTACGGCCAGCCACTCTAGTCTCGCCAGCGATGCGTCTTTCTATAGCGCGGATGCTGACGCAGAGATTAGAGCGGCTGACGACTCTTTGGGGTGGGACGGTCCACTAGGGGTCGGGTTACCCATTGTGGATCCGCTTGCCCCCGTTTTGGACTCGGACGAGTCCCAAAATGAGTCTTTTGGCGCCTCTCGCGGGGCGCCATATCTCGGCGCCGACGGCGCCTCAGACGGTGCAACTTCGGGCACGGGTATATCACCTGCGGCGCCCATTGCACAGGCAACGACAACACGTGGCGACCCCTCGGGCGACCAGGCGCCAACCCGGTCTTCGAGCGCGACCTCGCGTCGTTTCGAAGATCGGGCAGCGGACGGACGTCCGCTCGGCCAGCCAATCAGCACGCCCGGTCCTCTTATACTCGGTTTGAGTATAGGAGGAGGGCCACGTGGCGAGAATTCTCTTCCCTTCGCCTCCACTGCCAACGGCCACGATGGCCTCGCGCCCCCTATACTTGGTCTAAGTATAGGGGAGCTGCAACCACCTTCGGCCGGCTCCCCAGTCGTCGGTTTGGACCCCTCGGTCCTCCACGCGCGCCGTTCGGCTGGCCACGACTCTTCTCTGGCCTCGCCCGGCCTTCAAGCGCGCCGTTTGGCTCTCGAAGACACCGCGATTGTTGAGTTGGCACCCGGCAGGGCGGCAGGCATGCTGCCCGACCCGGTCGTGCCCGGGGTAGCGCTGGCTAGCGCTCCCCAGCCCCCAACAAGCCACCAAGCGCGCCGTTTGGCTGTCCAAGACCCCACTTCGGCCTCACCCGGCCCTCAAGCGCGCCGTTTGGCTGCTGAAGACCTGGCGATTGTTGTTTCGGCACCCGGTAGGGCGGCAGGCATGCTGCCCGACCCGGTCGTGCCCGGGGAAGCGCTCGCAGCCGCCACGGCTCGCGCTCTGGGTGTTGCCCATGGCCCCAGCGACCTCGAGGGCGTCCTTAGCGACGACGAGGACGCCTTGGAAGACCCCGTCGACGCTGCCAGCCCCTCGGAAGTCCTGGCGAGTGTGTTGCCTTCACCCGAAAGGGCAGGTGGCATGCTCGCCGACCAGGGAGCCTTGGCATGCCTCCTCGCAAGCAGTGAGGCCTGCATGCACGACGGCCCCGCCACTCCACCCAGCACAGCCGTTGCCATGGACGTGGATGAAGGGGCCCTATGGACGGCGCCGTCGCAGCACCCCCTGTCGCCGCCACGAGAGCTTCGTGTGGCAGGCAAGCGTCGGCGTCTCAACGACGTCGACGACGAAGACCAACGGGAGCTGGCCGAGCTCTCGCAGCTTGTCGACGAGGACGAGGCTGGGATTCCTACCCTTGCGCTCAGGCCATCCGCGGCCAGCACTATACCGGCCTCTGTCCTCTCCGTGTTCGTGCACAACGCGCAACACTTCCAGTGCACGTTGTGCACGTACACGGCTGCCAGCTTCGCGTCCCTGACACGTCATCGAGTCTCTAGGCACCGCCGCATCGCCTTCATGGACCGGTTCTCGGCAGGTTGTGCGTGTGGCACCCCCTTCACGTCGAGGCTGGCTGCAGCAACACACGCGCAAGCGTGCACCAGCCTTCCGACTACCATTTTGGCTGCGGCTTCGTCGACGGGAGGAGCATCAAGCCACACCGTCGTCGGCGCTACGGCCACTGTCTCAGCGGTCGCCATCGTCGTGCCTGCCCTGCCTCACCAAGATGTTTCGGAGCCCACAGCGTCCCCCCCCGCTCGTGAGCTTTTCCACCGTTGTCTTACAGGTGACCGATGACGACAAAACGGTATTATTATCGACGACCCGCTCGTCATCTCCGCTTCCACGTGCTCTGGTAGCTTCACGCATCGCTTACCGATTGGACGAGCTACCAGCGCCACGTTGGGGTCCTCCCTTCCCCGCGAGGTGGTCGCCTTCCGGATTGCTGACCGCTTGGTGCCATCGACGCCCGATGTTGAGACCCTTATTCGCAACCTGCTGTGCCTGCGCTGACTTCTGCAGCTAGCTCGTCCATGGCGACCCCGATTTGACCCTCGACGAGTGGCTTCTTCGGTTTGACGGCGCCTACCGCGCCAACCCGGGTCCTGGTGGTGCTGGTGCGGCGCTTTCAGCCCGACGGCCTCGTCGTGTGGACTGGTTCGCACTACATGCCGAGCAGCGGCGAGACGAACAACACCGCCGAGTACACGGCGCTACTGATCGGCTTGCGGGCTGCAGCGGATCACGGTGTGACGAGGTTGCGGGTGGACGGTGACAGTATTCTTGTCATTCGCCAAGTGCGTGGTATCTTCGCGACGAGGAGCACTCGATTATGGCGCCTACGCAACGCGGTGAAGGCGGAGATTGCGCACCTTGAATGTGTCACACTCCACCACAAGGACCGCCAGTCCAACGGTCACGCCGACCGTCTCGCCAATGAAGCGCTGGATCGTCGGCGGTCGTTGATGGAATGCGGAGTGCATCCCGACGGTAATGGGTGCACCACCTCGCCGGCGGCTGGTCCAGCCCAGCCGGGTGAATCCATCTACCTCGACATGGATACCGGTGCCTCCACTGAGGATCTCGCCGCAGACATAGACGACGGTGATGTATACACGCCCATACGGGTGAGTCCCCACGAGGTCTCTGCACGCCGCTCACGACTCCCGACTGCGCAAGCTTGAGGATGACGAGATGGAGGCGACGAGTGAAGTTGTGAAACGTCTGGGTGCTGCTTTGTCCGCCAAGATCTCGGGCGCCATGACTGGGCGACGGCGGAGAGCTATATTACGGCCCTTCCGCATTTTCTGTACGACAAGCTTCAGCCTTACGCTCAGGCAGGTCATGATTCCAGGCGCGCCTCACCACCTCAGGCCCGGTCTCCTACCAATCTGCATTCGGTCTCCGGCAGACAAGGGCGAGACGAGCGACAACAGGAGGAGAACAGCCCTCGCGATGGATCTACTTCTGCATTGCATGCGACCAACCGGAGTAGACGTCGAGGAAGGCGACGGGGTCGACGGCAACGGCGCCATCCTCGCCAAGCTGGTGGTCAGCCTCCTGGTACAAGGCAAGCGCAACGACGAATGCCGCGGCCCCTTCGAGTCACCCGTCACCACCGTGAACACCGCATCGATGAGGACCTGGACGAGCTTCACGCCTTGGAATGCGCATCACCTCAAGACCGGCCGGCAATTGACAAAGCGCGACGTCGGGTTGGACGTATCTGCTCGGCCATCAACCAGCACCTTCTACGCCATCAGTTTGACACGGCCGAGAAGGAGTGTGTTGACGATATACTGGCCATGGCCTGTACGGAGCGAGCGGCACGAGCAGGAAGTGTAACACCAGAGACGGGGCCAACTACTCCTGACGAGGAGCAGTTGGATGATGGCGTCTGCCCCATCTCAAGTGACGATCTCTGGCGGTTCTTCGACGGCATTAATACGCCACGACACGTATTCGACGCGGAGGCTCCAGATGGTGCTGTCTTCCGCGCTGCAATGGATCGCTTGCCCGCTGCTACACGTTTGACGGAGCTACTGAGTGAGCCACCGACATTCGACGATATTGAAGTCAAGCTGCAGGATGTGCGTGGCGCCTCCGCTACTGGCCTTGATGGGGTCGGGTACGACGTGTACCAGCGATTTTCCGCCCAGCTGTTGCCGGTGCTTCAGGCAGTTTTTTGTGCTGCTGGGCGCATCAGAAGGTCCCTCAGAGTTGAAAACTTGGCGTAGTACGTCTACTTTACAAGAAAGGTGCGCGTGATGACCCGGCAAACTGGAGGCCCATCTGCCTCCAGCAAGCCATTTACAAGCTATACACCGGAATTCTTTCACGGCGGTTGGTGCGGCGGCTGGAAGCGAACGATCGTCACGCGCCAGGGCGGAAGGTATTTTGGGCGGTGAATGGTTGCGGGGGCATAACTTCCTCGCGACCACACTGATCGACAACGCACGCCGCAAACATCACCCGCTCTACGAAGTCTGGTATGACATTCGAAACGAGTTTGGAAGTGTACCGTTACAGCTGCTATGGGACGATCTGACGCGCATGGGTGTCCCAGTGGAGTATATCCAGATGTGTCAAGGCCTTTACGCCGACGCAGCGTTCTTTGTAGGCAACGCTGTCGACGGATCAACGGCAGCGATCAAGCAGCGTGTCGGGGTGTTTCAGGGGTGCCCGCTGAGTCCACACCTATTCTCAGCGGCTATTAGCCCCCTTCTCCATGCGCTCCAGCGACTCCATGATTCAGGTGTGCAGCTCTCGGGTGATGACCGCTTTGGTGTATCGGCTTATGCCGACGACCTTAAGATATTCAGCAGCAGCAAGGCGGGCGTCACGAAGCAACATGGACTCGTTGCAGAGTTTCTGGCTTGGACAAACATGACAGCCAACCCTGCCAAGTGTCGCAGTATGGGGGTGCGACGCAACAGTAGTGGTGCTGTTGAGGCTGATGACCTCCAGCTTACGCTCGATGACACGATGATCCCTACGATGACGCACATGCAGTCGTACACGTATCTGGGGATCGGCGATGGTTTTGACAACATTCGTCGCCGGGTTGAACTTGCACCCAAGCTCAAGTCGCTGAAGCAGGACGCAACGGCACTGATGGCATCTGGCCTCGCACCATGGCAGGTGATAAAAGCCGTGAAAGTGTACATCTACCCCCGGGTGGAGTACGCTCTCCGGCACCTGCGGCATGAAGATCAACACTTGGAGAGTTTCGATCTCCATCTTCGCCGGGGACTTCGCCACCTGCTGCCCTTGCCCAAGAACGCGACAAATGACTTTTTCTACGCTCCAGTGTCTCGTGGAGGTCTAGGCCTGTTTCTCCTGGTGGATCTACACGCAGCGTTGCAAATTGCACACGGATGGCAGATTTTGCACTCACCAGACCCAGCCATCCGTCGTGCCGCGCGCGAGCAGATCTTCCAAATTGCCGATATTCGGCATCGCTTAGACCGTGCCCATTGGCAAGAAAGACGCGAAGAGCTGTGTGAGCTGTTTCTGAATGGGGAGCTTGTAACGTCAGCTCATACTCCGCCCAAGCGGCGTAATGGTGACATCGGCTCGTTGTGGGTCGATGTTCGCAAGAATCTCAAGACGTTTGGATTGACGATCGCAACCATGCCCGCCGAACCGTTATCCAGGACACCAGCCTAGCCACTCCAGCTTCGTGTACCCCACCACGCCGAGTGGTTGGACCAGCAAAATGTGCTGCGACACGTGAAGCAGCACCTGAGGAACTTGCGCTGGCGGGCATGGTGTGCCCACAAGGATCAAGGAAAGATGGCGCGCGCACGGGGGCGTCGGCAGCGGATTCATCACACGGCCGCGTGGCATGTGGGAAACCGACTACCGCTTCGCCGTGGCCGCCCGTCTCAACATGCTAAATACAAGCGATGTGCTCTCGCGCAGACGTCAACGCGCACATGATCGGTGCAGATAACCGGGTTGCAGGTGGAAGAAGTCACTTGCTCATGTGCTGAACCACTGCCGGGTACGATGGATGCTATTCGTAGTCGCCATGATGACGCGCTGAAGGAAATCGAGCGCACGCTCCACGCGTCCATCATCAATCGCCACGGTCGCACCGAGCTTCGTGTAAACCAGACGGTCCCGGGTCTCCCTGGTCCGGCTTTGCGGCCGGACCTCCAGCTTTACAACCACGACAAGCGGAGGGTTGCGGTCATCGATCAGGCGATTGCGTTCGACCAGCAAGATCGAGACGATCCCACTAGTTCAGGATTGGCCAAGGCAAGCGCAGAAAATGCAACCAAGTATGCCAGCGTGCTTCGCCACCGCGAGAGTCAAGGATGGACGGTCCATCTCTCGGCCCTCGTCTATGGCTCGTTGGGATCGATGGCGCCCGGAAACTACAAGATCTACATGGGTCATCAGGGCTTGCTCAAGCGCGAGGCGAAGCGGCTGGACCAGCAGCTTTCGGCAGCATGCATTCAGTCCAGCTGCCGCATCTGGAGCCTGCACTGCGCCAAGCACCGAGCACGACAGCATCAAGATCAAGCGCCATGTCAGACGAGGGGCAGGCGGGTGACGGAGACCGGGGGACTCCGTCGCACAGCAGCCGCCGCTAGACGGAATTGTTCTAGCTTTCGTTGGCCTAATAGGCCCCACCCATCTAGGAAATCGCCCTGGGGAAACTCAATCTGGTGTTCGGCTGTCTCATGCATCTGCATTTGAACAGTCGAACTTCTACCCGTAGATGTTGATACATTTGTCCACATAGTTAAGCATCAGACAGAAATTCCTGACTTTAGGAAATTAACGGGTACACCGGATGGTAAATATACATACACTTCTCTGTTCTAATCAGTGTGAAAACTGGTTACCTAGCTTTTAGTTGGGGATTTTTCACATTCATTTTTTGGAACTTCCATCGACACTAGCTTGCTAGTGTTGACGGAACGGTCTCCGAGGGCTTTCACAACTTCCCTCGCGAGGCCAACCTCTACACTTGCCCCTCCTACTTTATATTAGTCCTTCTTGTTGTACCTTTCACTAGTAGATAATAATCCTACAGCACATATACACAAAACATCAGCCTATTCAATAGTTTTGCTCTGTAAAAGTCCAATCAGTGTTGAAAATTTGTCCCTACCAAGCTGCTTTGGTGGAGACAAATTCGCCATCCGTAGATTTTGAAATATCGGCCCAAATCTAAGTTAATTTTTTTTACTTAAAGTTGGGGCGCTATCTCATTTTATACTCCGATTGAATCCCCAAATAATAATAATCATTATTGTTTTGACGAATTAATCAATATACTGTTATATTTCATTACCTTTTTACAAATTTGTATATGCTACTGCCATATTTTACAATAGTCCGAAAATTCGCACTGCTCCATTTCGATGTACTTTTGCAGCTATACCTTCTCGGCCTACTGGCTAAGATCAAGTGTAGCACCTGTTCTAATCAGTGTGAAAACTGGTTGCCGACTGTAAGGTCGGGAACCTTCACATTCATTTTTGCATATCTTTCTATAACTTTCTAGCTTGCTAGTAACGCATAGATAGGTCTCCGAGAGGTTACAACCTTTCTTTCGTGAGACTAACACTTGTTTGTTGCCTCTTTTCTTGCCCTCCGACGCTTCACCAATGCATCTCGTGATGCGCTTCTGGTGGTCGGATTGGCAGCCTCGAAAGCGCTCTCTGTCTTCCGAGCATGGTTGTGGCCAAAAAGTTGTGCTCATGACATCCGTTGAAGGCCCTGAACCCCTTCTGTGCCATGGGTAGCCGGTCGTTGCCTTCCATCCAGCGCGATAATCGACGTGCCAGCAGCCCACTGTATAACTTGTAAACCGTGGGCAGCAAGCATATTGGCCGCCAGTTCTCCGGCTTCTCCGGGTCGCCCTTCTTGTGAATGAGGCGAACGATGCCAACCTTCCACAAGGAAGGTACGCGCCTATGCATCCAGCAGAACTGAAACGCGGTGTGGAGGAGCGGGACCAGCTGCGCAGCAAAGCGGCTATATACATCGTAGCCTATGCCGTCGTGACCCGGGCTTGATGTCTTGGTCGCGCGCGAAAGCTGGTATTCCACTTCATCCATCGACAGTTCTTCGTCGAGGGCATCCGCTTCCAACAACGCAGGCGTGTAAACGTCTAACGCCGCCCGGAACTCTTGACCTTGCGGAGCATCGTAGTCGAACGGCACCCTCTCCGTGCATGTGCCGGTGAAGTAGCGGTGCATCTCCTCGCGATCGATGGGACACGTATCTGGGTGCTCCTCGCCGGCCGTGTCCACCGAGGCGTCCGCCAGAAGCTTGGTCACACACTTGGCCTCGTCCTGAGCGAAGTCACGTCGAAGCTGCTGCTGAGCCATTGACGAACGAATCCTTCCAACTCGCCGACGTGCCTTGCGAACTGCCCGCTGGTCCGCCGGAGACGCTTGCTGCGTTGTCTGCAAGTCATCGAGCGCTTCATCCAAGCGGTGCTCACGCTGAGACCGTGTCACCCGCGGCGGGCGCCGGCGACGGGACGACGCTTGAGTCGTGCTAGGAGCTGGTGAAGCCGAAGCAGGAGGAGGCGCGTTAGAAAATTGTAGCAGTACCTCACGAATCCGATCCGGGATCGCGCTGATATAACCTTCCCCTGTGGCCCAGCAATCCGCGTCAGTAATTCTGCTCGCCATGCCATCTGCAAACGTTTGGAGCGCATCCGCGGCGGCATCCCGCTCCTCTTCGGTGAGTTGACGCAGCCGGAGACGAGGTTGTCGCGCTGGAGCCGAGCCTGGGCCAATGGGCAGCGTTGGAAAGACTTCGCCATCGCGCGCTGCGATCTCAGCTTCAACCTCCATCGTATCGTCGTCCACCCCCGACTCATCGCTAAAAACAGACGTAGCTCCTGTGTTCACTGGAGCCGGCAAGTCGGTAGCAGGCGGAGTATTCGGCTGGAAACAGCCGAGCATGTCTCCCGAGTGGTGACCACACTCCACAGCGGTGCGCTGAAGATCGAGTGAACGGTTAGCCAGACGATCAGCCTGAGAATTGGCTTGGCGATCGACATGGCGAAGCTTGTGCCATTCCAGTCGCCGGAGTTCCTGGCGCACGCTATTACGCAACCTCCGAAGCCGTCGGTTATTGCACGAGAAGGAGCCGCGCACCTGAGCGAGCACCAGGTTGCTGTCGCCCTCGACCAGCAACCGCGTGGCCCCATGTTGCACCGCACTCCGTAAACCCAGCAGCAGTGCCGTATACTCGGCCGTATTATTGGTCTCGCTGCTGGAGGGGAGAAAATGGGAGCAGGTCCACACCACCGTGCCGCCCGAGTCGAACAGCACCGCCCCCGCACCACCTGGTCCAGGATTCCGCCGACAGGCACCGTCAAAACGCAAAAGCCATGGCTCGTGGTCCTCGGAAGGAACTTCTACTGCCCGAGTGAGCGAGGGAGCGCTTGGACTTGGCCGAGGTAGAGCCGGCGGGTGCGCTGAGGCAGCTTCCGAGCTGACTGCGGCAGATGAGCTGGTCAGCGATGGAGTCCCTCGGGTGCCCAAGCGACGCCCTGACGATGGCATCCTCACCAGCACCCGTGGTCCCCAGCGCGTGAGTGTCCGTCGTGGAGCAGGCAGCGAGGAAGGTCGAGTGGATGGTGCCGGAATAGTGGGTTCCCCGGTGACAAGATGGGCAACAGCGGCGGCCCCGATCGCGCGGTGACATGGCCCCCACCGCGTGGCACCAGTGCCCGATGCGGCAGGTGTCAGTGGTCTTCGCACTGCCAGGGTCGGAGCTGTCGCATCATCTGTCAAGAGCCGGGGTCCCCAACGAGTCTGCTGCGCCGTGGCGCACTGCGAAGAAGGCCGTGGAGTGTTGGGCAGGGACGCTGCTTGAGCAGAGGCTTGGTCCATCACTCCATCTGTAACCTGCATAACAACATCCAGGTCCGGGCTGGGAAGCTCAGCATCAGGATCGTTCAAACGGCGGCGCTTCCCGGCGACCCGGACCTGTGGAGGTGAAAGAGTTGGGCACCGACCGGGGGGACGTACTGGTGCCCAGCAGAAGCAGGAGCGGCGGGCACGATGCTCTGTGTGTTGGCGGCACCTGCTGTTACAGTGGCGCTTGATGCGTCTGCTGTAATTGCAAGTACCGCCGCGCTGAGGGGCCCTGTAGGGGTTGGGGCCACCTCACTGCGCGATTCAGGCAAAAGAGGAGAACAGAGGCTGGAGTCGCGTGCAGCGGAGACGGCGAAATAGGAGCTGTCCTTGCACGCCATAGCATGAATCGTCGCTGATTCACGCGACCTGAAGCTGATGCCGCACGTGCACCCGCTGTGGAAGTGGTTCACGAAGCAGGTGTCACGGTGGGCTGTGCGACGATGAGCTGCGAGCGCTGCGAGGTCGCGACAGGTGTGCGCACACACCGCGAAAGTGAATGCAGCGGTGTTGTGCGCGTACACCGTCAGCACAGGGTCTTGATGGATAGCAGTAGGCCAGGCATGGGTTATGAGGCTGACCCCTGTGTTGACGCGCCCTCGTCGCGCTCGCTGAGCATGCCACCTGCCCTTTCGGGTGAAGGCAACACACTCGCCAGGACTTCCGAGGGGCTGGAAGCTTCGACGGGGTCGTCCAAGGCGTCCTCGTCGTCGCTAAGGACGCCCTCGAGGTCGCTGGGGCCATGGGCAACACCCAGAGCGCGAGCCGTGGCGGCTGCGAGCGCTTCCCCGGGCATGACCGAGTCGGGCAGCATGCATGCCGCCCTACTGGGTGCTATCTCAACATTCGCGGTGTCTTCGAGGGACAAATGGCACGCTTGAAAGACCGGAGGGTCTTAACCGGCGACTAGGGAGACGGTCGAAGAATGTTGCATTTCTCCTATACTAAGATCAAGTATAGAAAGCGCGAGGCCATCGTGGTTGCCGTGCTTTCATGCGTCAGTTATCATACTCGAAGATTTATTTCGCAATATCATGCACGAGGAGCCCTGGCGCACATCCCAGCGTACAACGCAGTTACTAAATCAAGCCGTTTGAGCTCATAACCTGTTATAGAGTTGTGGTAAAGTCGATTAGGAATTTTGGCTAAGTCCATGTATTAATTTTATCGATAAATCCGGAGCCGAATTATCGGGACTTTTCTCGCCAACGGTTGGATCCCTTTCCCATAATGGCTGGATCCCTTTCCTATAACAGTTGGACCCCTTTCCCATAACGGTTGGATCCCTTCCTCATAACGGTTGGATCCCTGTCCGCTTACGATTGGACCCCTGTCCACCACTAAGTCACTTACTAAAATGACTTATTGGGTGTGGTGGAGTCGATCGTAATTTATGGATGATCGAATGGAAAAGTACCGTTGATCGTGGCATAGATCATATTTCCATGTTATATTGGATTATCATGGAATAGATCACCGCTTGGATATACTTGGTTCCAGTATCGGTTGATCCAACTGGATGTATTAAAATTGTACGGATTTTACTTGAATGTGGAATATTGGAATTTCTCAAAGTGTGGATCGCGGCCTCAATTAATTGTAATGGACAAATCATGATCCGAGATACATATCGTATCGCTATCGATTTTGGATAGCACCGCGATCCAAGTTTGGATCGCACTGCAATCTTAGTATTCAGGTGGATCCGCGATCCGTGATTCTGTTATTTCACTGTGGAGGATCGAGTAAACAATTTTCATAAATTGTAGATCGCGATCCAAGTTATGTGGATCACACATCAAGGATCGATCCCGAAACATTGTGCAGAAAACGCGATCCAACTTGGAAAACGCGATCCGACTCAGAACCGCGATCCGACTCAGAACCGCGATCCAAAGCTGAGCGCGATCCGACTTAGAATCGCGATCCGACTCAAAACCGCGATCCAAAGCTGAGCGCGATCCGACTCAGAATCGCGATCCGACTCAGAACCGCGATCCAAAGCTGAACGCGATCCGACTCAGAACCGCGATCCAAGGCTGAACGCGATCCAAGGTATAGCGCGATCCGACTCAGAACCGCGATCCGAATCAGAACCGCGATCCAAGGCTGAACGCGATCCAAGGTAGACCACGATCCGACTCAGAACCGCGATCCGAATCAGAACCGCGATCCAAGGCTGAACGCGATCCAAGGTCAGAACCGCGATCCGACGTCAGGACTGCGATCCGACTCAGGACCGCGATCCGAATCAGGACCGCGATCCGAAGGCTGAACCGCGATCCAAGGTAGACCGCGATCCGACTCAGAAGCGCGATCCGACTCAGAACCGCGATCCAAGGTATAGCGCGATCCGACTCAGAATCGCGATACAACGTAGGTCCGCGATCCGACCTAGATCGCGATCCAACTCACAAGGATTACGCATTATGGATCGACCGCGATCCTGAGCTGATACGCGATCTGATTCGGATCGCGATCCAAGGATAAGGCAAGATCGCCGATGGATCGGGATGGCAAAGGCATTTGGGGTGGACCACATATTGAGATCTGATTTTTCCTGAAAGGGTGACACGTGGTGATAGATCCTGGACTACAGATAGGCAGAATTGTAGGTTTCGAGTTTTGATTGGTTAACACTAAACAGAGTTCAATTTTACTTCTAATACACGTGTCGACTTCTCTTCCGGGCTGGATTCTTTGGCCACCCGACGTCTCGAGGAAGCATACACACTACGCCAGTCATATCCCTGGATTGTTTGGCCAGGGATTGCAAGAACTCTCAACACAACTCAACTGCGATCGGACGCAGATAAAACACGTAGGGCAAGGCGAAGCAAGTGCAGGACGGATCAAGTGGTCAGAAGGTTCTGCTCAAGTGGTCAGAAGATTCAAGCTTCGTTTTATTGGATAACCGTGATCGATTGGGAAGATCACACCAAGTACTCGGTTTATCTTGTGAAGATTTCCACAAGATAACCAAATCTCCTATCCCTAACCCAATTAGGATCAACATCGACTCAAGCCCACCGAGAAGAGAGCAACCCGCCCTACCGACGGGTAAACAAGGTGAGGAAGGCTTTATACACGGAATCGGGGTACCCCCTCCGTTAGTCGGTCGTCCGCGCGCCAATGGAGAGTTGGAATCGCATCAGCAATTTGCGAATCCCACTCCACCACAATGGTGCGCGTGCCCGGATCTTCTGGTGACTCGGGATTTCACCGTGAGTCCCTGAGAGAAGATGTAAAGGTCAAAATTGAACCTGGGATTGAAGCGTCAGCGGCAAAGGGATCACCGCAGACGTGTGAAGAAAAAAGATCCCCGGATCATCAGCGTTTTGGGAGGGGCGCAGATGAAAAGAAAACCAAAGAGGAAGATCAAGAGATTGATCTAGAAGAATAACCTCTACTCCCTCCCCAGGTCCTTTCGAGGACTCCTGCGGATCACGTTGCAAAACGCGATCCGCTGGATAAAAATCCTTCGGTTAAAACCGAAGAAAACTTATCCAAAACCATACCGAATTCGAAGAAGAAGAAGAATTCGAAGCCATCTCGAGTGAAGATGAAGGCGCCTGAATCGGATTATGATGATACCGACATGAAGCCAGCGCAGGAGGATGATAAGACGGAAGGGTGGAAACTGGATCAGTTGGAATGGTGTTATCATTGGAAGGAGCTTAAAGATTTGTTGTCAAGCGATCCAGTTTTAAAGATTTTGAAACCGAAGTTGATTGGATCGCTACGAGGACCAATTTCAGCTCCCATTCCGACACCGAACCAGCTGGAAGCGATCCGTCGGCTTATGGAGTTGCTCCAAAACGCTGGATTCACCGCTGGAGCTTTTGACGCACAGGTGCTGCTGGAATGCAATCATGATCGCGTGATCCAGGCAGGGCGATCTCTGTTTGCGAAGTTAGTTCCGCTAACTAAAGAATGCGATCCAGTAGACTAGGCGATCCAACCGATCGTAGATATTCCAAAAGGTTATCATACTGGATCGTCACAATATATGTCAGCGGAATCTGAAGGGGAGTCGGATACCTCGATCAACATTCAGCGAATGTCACTTGGACCGGCTGGTGCAGCACACATTCGTGAACGACTTGTACCGACCAAGGCCGAAGTACAGTCGCCAACGACATCCGCAGCTGAAGGATACGAATGTGACTGGATCAGGGCAGCTGCAGTCCTACTTTGAAGCTGCTATGAGGAAGTATGAACAGGATCAAGCTCGCATGATCGCTAGTCGATCCGCGATCTCTATAAATACCCCAAAAGTCTGCATTTCGGATGTGGACATGGAATCGGCCGGATCGCGTCAATCGCGATCCAATAATTACGATCCAGACGATTTGGGGTTGGAGGATCTACGACGGCCACAAGTCGCAAGTGCAGGCACTGTACCTTATGGTGGACTTGTCACCCAGCGAATTCGAATGTCTGCGATCGCAGACCTGAAAGAATTCACAGGACGGGACAAGGACGAAGATCGGGCGAGAAGCTGGGTCAACAAGGCCAAGTCTGCATTCTTACGCGATCAAGCCCCGGACGATGAAAAATGTCTAGTATTTGGTGACTTGCTCACGGGGCCGGCGCGAAATTGGTACATCCAGCTTAGCCGATCTACCCGGAATTCATGGAAGTCGTTGCTGGAAACCTTCATGATCCAATATTGTAGATATAGTATGTCTGTCGGGAGAAAATACTATCATGCGAAGAAGCGGTCCGATGAAACGCCATTGGAATATTTGTATCGGCTGAATGTAGCCGCGATCCGAGCAAAAATCCCCATTCGGGAAGGATCGCCCTCAATTCGCCGAGAACATGTGGAACTTTTTATTGGTACGCTCGACGATCGCGATCTGGCTAAGCAATTGACGTTGTTACGCCTTGGAGATGCCGACGATATGGAAGAGACTCTTCGAACATATCAACGCATGGAAGGGAGACAGTATCCGAGTGCAATGGGGTCAAGCAAATTTCGTCAGCGATATGCGTCGGCCTCCACTCCGACACCCTCGAAACCAACTCGTGCTGTGAGAGCAATCCGCCTGGAAGGCAGTAGCAGCGAGTCAGACTCGGACCTTAGTGGATCGGACGCCGATACAGATCGACGCAACCTTTGTGTGGCTACAGTACCGGATCGCGTGAAGAAATTCAATGATCAACGTGCTGGATTGGACCATTTGGATCAAGATCGCAGTCCAGATCGCATGGGGAATCAAAAGGCTTGTACCCATTGTGGATCAAAGAAACATGATGATCGTGGATGTTGGAAGAGGCTAATGTGTCAGAAGTGTGGAGGCAAGGGATTGTCTTCGGATAAGTGTTTCTACACCTGTTCCGCCTGCGGAGATGTTCATGAGAGTGGAAAGTGTCGAATGGAAGAATTCTACAACATGATACGCAAGTAGTATGTTCCAACCAAGCATGCTGGAATGCTTCCGCCGAAGGCAGAAGAAATGTTAAACTAGGACGCTCGCCAGGTTGGAATCTGGTACGAGCCGCGTTCTAGGCTCTGCATTTATGCATTTGTGGAAAGAAGATCGACTGATCAAGGTGTTAACGCTTGGATCGATCCGATTAATACATGTGAGGATTCAAAAAATTTGCGTTCAATATCAAGTGTCGTAAGAGTTGATGAGTATGCCCGATCGCCTGCTAAAATGGAGCTCGACTTAGCACCAGGTGAATCAAGAGGATATTGGAAATATCATACCCCTGGAAAATGGTTCAAGCAAGCCAAGGCAACGGGCAATATCAACAATGAAAAGGCGACTATGTTGTTTGATTCTGGAGCCGAAGTCTCGATCGTCGACACCACCTTTGCTCGTTAGGTAGGATGTGTCATTGACGAGAGCCAAAGGCAAGAATGCGTTGG